TCTGGCAGATCTGGACGGGAAACCCAAATTAAGATTTACCGGGTCACGTGGTCACGTGCCTGCCGTCAGGTCACGTTCCCGGTCTCACAACGGATAAATATATAAAAGGAATCAAAGAAGAGTAACAGTAAACTGAAATAATAAAATTTATATAATATTAAGGAAAATATATATGGTATTAGAGCAATAATAAAGATTAGGAGGAGGTTTAGGGTAAAGGTTACCCTAGCAAAATCTTGAGATAGCACCAAATGCACGATGCACTATATTAACAATTTCCTAAAATTCTAAAATTTATTCAAAAAATTTTTTACAAAGATATTAACATGATTTTAATAATCTTATTTCGATACAGAGAATAATTATCCAATACAATAATTTCTCTGTAAAATCTTGCTGAATAAGTTAGTGAACAAAAAATTTTTTGCATTGTTAAGCATGTACAGGGCGTAAGCTTAAATTCTTCGCTTAAAAAACCTTGCCAATATATTTTTTCGAATAAATGAATTGATATACAGTAATTCTTTTTTTTAGACTTGTGAATAATTAATAATTATAATAATAATAATTAAACAATGTTCGTTAGGCCACACAAAGTTGATTTTTCGTTTTGCATTACATGGATTTCAAAATGCCGGTCGGTCGGTCAGAATTTTTTTTTAAAATCTACAGTAAATTAATAGACTCACGTTCATATTTAAGGCCACGCAAAGTTAATTTTTCGTTTTGCATAACATGGAATCAGAAAATTGGGTCGATAATCGAATTTTTTATTATCGGATAATTCCGGAATTTAAAAAAAAAAATTGTAAAATTGAAGAAAAATGGGTCGGCGAGTAATGCAAACGAAAAATCAACTTTGCGTGGCCTTATCATACAAACATAGCACACAAGAATCATCTTATTTAGAATATTAAAATTAATAATTTTTTAGGAAACCTATTATTTATATAAAGTAAATTTTAAACAATCAAAATATTCGTATTAAGCAAATTATTTCAACAACAGAAAAAACCACCACGAAAATTAAACCAAGTATCGTTTGTTCAGCTAATAACTACAAGTCATTATCGTGGTCAATTTTTGGATAAATTGTGTTTAAATATGATTGAGCCATCAGATTATCAGCCACATGATCAGATCTAAGCCGAATTTATAATATATAAATTTCAGTAATTGTAATGCGTTGAAGGAGGAATGTCATCCACGTTTATCGCAATGGATATTTTGAAAATATTGAAAGTTTTGGCTTTTTCGAGTACTTTTTCGTTTATGATACAAGCATCAAATAGAAACGAAATTAAAGCTCGATAATTCATAAAGTTGAAACGATAATTACTATAATCACTGAGATTAAATTGTAAAAAAGAAATGAAACTTTTTGAGTCATCTAATCGAATTGGATTCATTGGTAGCGTTTCAATATTGGTATCTTCAATGATAGGACCAGGACTGATGACAAGTAAATATACACCTCTTTGACCAAATTTATGAGTTCGAATTTACTAAATACTTGGACTGATACAAAACTTTTTTTATAGTACCTTTATTATTTCGTAGTGCAGGATGGATAACGTGAGTTACTAAGATTTAATTAATGAATAAATAATTTTTTTAATCTTATTTTTTATTAATTTCAATTTTGATGCGTGTGATCAAAGGCCGCTGGTGATGTTTCTGATATCAATATCAGTAGCACCAACTGGTGCTTTACTATTATGTGAGGCCATTGGTTCTATACCTGGTAACGAAAGATTCACAGTAAGTACTTTAATACCTTATTTTTCATATTTGTACGTATACATTTGAAAGTTATTTAATATTATACAATTTTCACCAGAAAAGAATAGAGTATTCTAAGCTTTGTTCATTATTGATTACAAACCGACTTGGACGAGTGTTAGCACAAATAATAATATATGCAGCGATTGAAACATTTATTATAACATCAATTACTCTTTCAGCACAATTATTGGACAATTTATTGATCGACTTTTTAAAAATTTCTTGTGGAATTGGCATATATCCTGAATTCGGATGGATTTGTATTAGAAACCTTGGAAATGAAAATGGACCGTTTGAAAGTCGGTTGATGTTGTTTACTATCGGTTTTATGGTAATATATGACTTTCTTTTAATTATCATTTATAATATATATTTTTGTTAATACACAATAAATTTTATTTTTTAGATAACAATATTCATCGCTGCGCCAATGACATTGATGGAATTATCAAATAATGCTAAAATTCAGATCGGTGTGTAAAATATATAATTTTTTATTTTACAATTTCAATTCGTAAAATTTAAAATTTAACATAATTTATTTAAATTTTCTTGTAGTATCATTTTTTACAATAATATTAATCGTAATCACATGGATTGTAACAATCGCATTCCACGGCTTGAACCCAGCGCGAATTCCCATCTTAGGTCAAGAACAGGACCTGGTTATAAAGACCGTTATGTTTAATTACGCATTTATTACTACTGTGCCAAGCTTGGTTAATGAAATGGTTTGTTCACTCTTTCTTATGCTATTTATTCTAATGTTTTCTCCCGTAACATACGCATATTAACCTGTATTTAAATAATATAGAAAAGGGATATTTCGATTCGAAAAGTTGTATGGACTTCAATCTTTATTACAACACTTTGCTATGTTTCTTTAGGGATTATTGGGGCCATGTCTATTAAAATGGAATTAACGGCAAATCTAATAATGTCAATCCAAAAATCGGAATTGTATAACACCTTTATCGGGATCATTAATTATTTATTTCCACTTATATTACTTGCCGGCGTACCAGTATATGCTATAGTTATACGTTATAATTTCCTTCGATCTGGAACTTGTAAAGATAGTAAGTTTGTATAGCCAAAGATAAATTTGTATTAAATTAATTTTTATAATATCACTAATTTTTTATAAATTTTTTTAGAGAATGTTGCAGTTTTTTTTACAATATTACCATGGACCTTAGCTATACCTTTTCAAACCGGTTATTTGTTAGATTTATTTACTAATTGGACAGTATTAGTTTTTATTTGTTCCGCAAATTTTATAATTCCATTTTGGTTATACTTCTTAAGTAGAAAGAAATCAAAAATGATACCGTTGTTGACAATCACTCAACCAAAAGAAGATAGTACAAAAGGTATTATCAATTGAAATGATTTTTAATTTGATAATATTTTTAGTTAAAAGTATTTAATATTATTTTATTAGTTGAAGAAAAAGAACTAAAAGCACAGATTGCAAAGCACTTAGAAACACACGTCAATGTACCTCCAACTCTCGAGAAAACTCAAGATAAAAATATTTCAGAAAAATTACATAATGCAGCAGCATTGTACCGAAACATGTCACCAGATGCAGTACCAATAAGCGATATTCCAGAAGATTTTATGATTGATTCAGAATTTATAAATAATGCCAGTTTAACGATACCTCCTCTTACAACAATGGATCCTGATTTATTTTCTATATTATTACCTTCACAGCCGTCAACACCACAACATCCTTCAACTCCAAGATCAATTAGTACTGATGATGATGAATTTTATGGTCTATTTCCTGCTCCTAAACCTTTCAAAGCATTTTTTCCCAATCATGAAGTAGTTAAAAACGTAAATGAAGAAGGTGGTATGGTTGAAAAAGATGAATTGTTTAGCATTTGTATTGCCTGGACTGCTGGGATCGTTAGTTGTATACTTATAGGATTTGCAATCGTCTATAGCTTTGTGGACTTATCATTTGGAATTAAACGTAGAACCTTATTGTAATTCATGCTGCATTATCAACTATTGTATCAGTTCTTTAAATATTGTAATTTAGATCTCTCTACGAAATCAATTGAATATATTTTAGACCATCCTTATGATTTTTTTTTTCGTAAAAATTAATAAACATTAGAAAACATAAAATTATGTTCTATATTATGTGATAAAATTCCATGGCTTTTTCTTTTATTGAGCTAAAGTTTAATTTGCTAATTTGCAATTTTTTGAGTGATAACAGTCCTGCTTCATACGTTATCATGTGGGCCTGTAGAGTTGACGTTTAGCTTTATTTATGTTTAGTGCCTTTTATATTTTTATCAATAGCTGAACTTTATGCGTCACAGTTGACCACTCACATGCCCGAGATTTTTTTGTTGGTCATGCTGGAGAATTGGATATGCTCTAATTTTTTAAAAGTTATTAATCTCACTAAAACACGTTTTAATTCAAAACTAATCTAATCCTATGTTATGTTGATTAAATATACTACCAGTGAAATGATTGTTGATGTAAAGCGAATAGCACTAGTCGTTGACGTATCAATGTAAATTAAATTTTTAGAAATAAAATTGTATTAATTGATAGTTTCATTTATAATCGGCACTATTTTATAGTAAGAATTAGGGCAAATTTCATATGAGTTTTATAATAGAGTGGAATATAGCATTAGCTTAAAGCAAAGTCCTTCTTTTACTACTTCAAGCTCTAACAAAAGCTGTAGAGCTCATTTTTGCGGTTCTAATGGTGGCAAGAATTGAGCGGCAGATCCTCGATTTTGATTGGCTAAGAGCGACGATCAAAAAATTATGCTGGAATTACTCATAATTTTACTAATGAAATCACAGCCGCCCATTAAGTGAAAATTGTTCCAGAGTCAATTTTACCATAATGCGAGCTTATTTCTTAAAAATTTCTATTTTTGTAATGAAAAAATTAAAAAGTTAATTTCAGCCGGAAATTAGTAAACAATTATGTAATGCGGGCCAGAATTTTGACGATCCTCGGCCGTTAGCCAATCAAAATCGAGGATCTGCCGCGCATTTTTTGTGCGGTGAGAAAGTGGTGACTACTATGTTGAAAATAAAACCTATCCAACGAACTAATCTAAACATAAAAACTACTCCAACTACTTTTCAAGACTCTTAAACCTTGACAGAAAAAGGCGTTGTGAGCTTGGTCCGAGGTTCAAGGCTTTTGGGTCTTGCTGCAGTGTATTTGGTGCTCAAGATAAGTATATCCAGAATTTGTTTGTATTTAGTTGGTTATAAATTTAGATAAGTTGTCCAAAAGAAGCCTTTTTTTCTATATTTTCATCTAACTGGGCTTCAGTATTTAGCTATAATCATTAAGTTTTTTAACAATTGTCACATGGTTACTTAATATGATCTTTAATTATTTGATTGTTTGATGTAATTAGGGATCAATAGTAAGAATAACAGATTATTATATAGCTTATTTGATGATTTATATAAAAAGGGTTTTTGATTATTAATGAATACTTTTCTTTCTCACACTTAAGAAATAAAACTATGGGAAGTTTTAAATATTATGGGGACAAGAATGATATAATAGTCTTTTATTACAAATAATTTTATATTTATAGGGAACTTTTTATTAGAGAACAACATCTACTATAGGAATTTCAAAGTTAAAAACTCTTGTGAGATGATTTTTATTATTTCGAAAAGAGGTTCTAAATACTTTTTGTTTTCTACAATGTATATAAATAGGCTGTGTTTGCTATTGAGACTACTAATTTCTTCAACTTCAATCCAGCTATATTACATTATAGTAGAATAAATACAAATTTGTATCTGCTTAGGCTATAGATACAAATTTGGATTTTAGATACAATTTTATATCTGCTTAGACTTTGAATACAATTTCATTTCTATATATGAAAATTATTTTTATAAATATTATAGAATTTAGTAAACTAGGTATCAAGAGGTGTACAATATGTTTTAAAAGAAGGAATAAGAAATGTTTGAAGAAAATATTGTAAATCAATATTAAAGATAATATAAATATTATATTTAGAATTATATTTAATTTTTAGTAATATAGAATTGAAATTATAGTGAATAGTATCAAAATGTAAACTAAGTCGAATAGGCTTAAAATCAAGATCAAGATAAAATTAGTTATAGTTAATAGTTTGATATTTATTATTAAAGAAGAGATATAAGCATGTTAAGAAATAGAATATAAGATAAAAAATAGTGTGAATAAACACTTTTTAATAATTTAGACTTGTAAAGAGAACAATAATAAAGTTAAAAAAAATCTTTTTAAAGATAAAAGTAATAACTCAAATAAAATATTAAGATTAAAAGAGGTGTATTAGAGATATTTAGATTATACATGTTGATGAAATTATTTCAGATTCTAAAACCTGAAATTAAAATTTGAAGATGAAATTGTTTTTAATCTATTTTACTTAAAAGACAAAATTTTTTAACACTTTTTTTGAATAGATAAAATTATAAGAAGTATAGATATATAAATTTTATTTGCTCTTTCTTATAAAAAATTTTAATTTACTCTAATGGAGACAAAATAGGCCTTTTTTGAAAATCAATTTCGGTGGCATCACTAATTTAGATAAATATTATCAAAAAGAAATTGTAGTTTTTGTAAAATTATATTTGTAATAGACTATTAGAAGTTTACTAAAATGCACCTATAGTATATATATATATGATTTCTCAAAAACTGGCTAATTAATCAGCATGAAGTATTCTAAATAAAAATGGTTTATGCCCTAAAAAACTCTTTCAAAACCCTAACACTAACCCTAATACTAGTCTTATTGTGAAAAAATTTGTATTAAAAATTTTATAACAAAACTTATAAAAACTTAAAAAATATAAGAAAAATGTATAATAGATATAAACACCATAGATGTATTTTATAATTTTTAGATTATTAAAGCTATTACAAATAGGTTGCTAAGAAATAGAAGAAATAAAAGTTGCATATCTAGAATAAAAGTTTTGGAGAAAAGGTTTAATAAAATTTAAACCATTAATTCTAAGAGAAGTTGGAAATTGTATTAAATTTTTAATTTCTAAATTGATTGAAAATGCTTAAAACTAGTCAAGCATGTTACTAGAAAGCTTATAGTAAAAAATTTTGTTGAATTATAGTTAGTTTAGATTATAAATACTAAAAATAAAAATAAAAAAATAAAAAACTTAATAAAAAATATAGATAGTTTGAAAATAAAACTTGGCAGCATTTTGATCACTTAATCAGAATTAGATAATTTTAGATTTATTAAAAGCGTCTTGAAGAGTTCATTATTTTGATAGTTAAATTATCTAAATTGGTTAGGTAGATTAAAAGGTACTAAAGTTTAAAGATTTTGTAATAATAATAGATATAATAGTTACTATATATAAATATAAAATATATAGTTTATAGTTAAATTTTATATATGTATGGTGCTGGAAGCCTATACTCAACGGTTACATGAAGTGTTTCAATTTTTTAAATGGCTATAACTTTTTATCTAAGAGGTTTTAAAAAAATCCACCCGGTAACTTTATAGAGATATATCAGCTCTACATGTGTGCCAAATATCTTTTCAAAATCTCATCACTGTAATGAGTTGATGCGTTTTGAAAATTGAAATTTTATATGTAAATTTATAAATTTACATATAAAATTTTCAATTTTTAAAACGCATCAACTCATTACAGTGATGAGATTTTGAAAAGATATTTGGCACACATGTAGAGCTGATATATCTCTATAAAGTTACTGTGTGGATTTTTTTAAAACCTCTTAGATAAAAGTTATAGCCATTTAAAAAATTGAAACACTTCATGTAACTGTTGAGTATAGGCTTCCAGCACCATAGTACCAAAAAATCTATATTTAAAAGTAGTAATTTAATTAAATATAAAATTTAATATAAAAATATATATATTAGATAAAAATTTGCTATTTTTTTAATAAAATAAAAAATAAACAAGTAAATAAATATATTAAATTAATAGTATTGCATAATAAAAGAATATAAAAATAAATATTTGATACTAGGTTTTGGGGGCTTTGATAATGATATAAGAGGTATTTTATAAATAAAATTAAAGTATGTTAGTATTTTTAAAAAAATTAATAAATTTTTTTATACAGTCAGACCACTAAATTAGTTGTACTTCAATATAATAATTGTATAGAGATGTGATCAATATTATAAATTCAAAAAATTTTTATTGATACAAATGCAAAAAAATATATACAAAAAAATTTATATGCAGCTATATATATAAAGAGCACTATTATATATATAAATTTAAATCTATTTATATATCATTCTGGCTATACAAACATCATCAATAATAGAAAAATTGGTGGTATGTTCAGATATTAGTTTAACAAGTACTTCTTTTTTTTTTTAATTAAAAAAGATCTTCTTGGTTAGCAAATTTTATAAGTCACGTTCAGACACTATACATTGTATCAAAGATATATCAAGCCTCATGTATACTTTTGGTGCCTAATTTAAATAGTCTACTCAAAGCAGTTGTGTTATACTAAGGGTTCTACACTATCTGCTGTACCTGTATCCCAACTACAGGAGTATCTGTTTAAACCTTTTGGTTTTAACATATTTAGCCTGACACCTATCTTAACATGGGTGTAACTCACTATTCAAACATAGATTTTGTGACACTACTACATAATCAGCCAACTTAGAACACTTTACTATTTTCAAAAGTAAGCCCAACAGAGCAGTGCATGTTCTACACATGCATTTACCTGCTTGTTTCATAATATCTTTCTAGTTAGTACCTGTTGTACTACCATTACTGAGACTGTATCTCAAGCTACCCTTTAGAGCACTACTTTAATCTGATCTGTATCTCAAGCCACAACCTTTCTAATAAGTTTCTCATTATATACTCATTGCCTTTAATCAGTTTACAACAACCCGGTACCCATGCTTGGAACCGTCTCTTTACTTGGATTCTCTATTGGTTTCTTCCTTACTTATAGCTAGAAACCTGAAAGGGTTGGTCTGCTCAGGCTTTAGATACCTGAATGATGCCCTCTTCTAGGTTCATACTTTCAGAGTATATGCCCTTTTTTTCTGGTACAACAACCTAGCAGTTAGGCTAGTGTATTCTCTGCTATAAAATTTGGTTGCTCAGTTCTCAGATCTCACTATTATATCCAAATTTAGAACTTCTCAAATGGGTTTTCAGTTATGCTAGTTCCTTGGATTTATTGTGCCAAAGCTCCTATTACTAGATGGTGTGACTGAAGTTACAAATTTAGTTCTAAATCCAACTGATAAGCATAGCTGTCAACTGAATACAGGCCTATTTTTCAAATAT